CCCCAACCCTGGGGCCCTAGGGCCCTAGGGTTCAGGCTCCTTTTAGAGCTGTGCGGTTTAGGGTTTAGGGTTTAGGGTTTAGGGTTTAGGGTTTAGGGTTTAGGGTTTAGGGTTTAGGGCCCATATTTTCTGGAACAGCTCACCTTTGACGCTCTGCGCCCAGACCCTGGCGCGACGCCGCCGTGGGGCCGGAGCTAAGGGCGAGGCTCGGTTTCCGAAGGGTCCAAGGAAAGGGTTTAGGGTTTAGGGTTTAGGGCTTTAGGGTTTAGGGTTTAGGGCTTAGGGTTTATAGGGTTTAGGGCTTGGGGGTTTTTAGGGTTTAGGGCCTGGGGTTTAGGGTTTTATCTTGTAGATATCCTAAACCCTAAACCGTATCATTTGGGTCCCGAAAGTGTGAAATTAGTATACTCGTACTTGGGCCCTTTGAGGTTGATTTGTGGGATTTCGAGGTTCACCCGACCCACTCAATCCCCCCAAAGCCTTTTTCGGGGTATCTTGGGGCCGAAGGTCGTCATGAACGGTTCCTGAAGTGGGAGCTTCGGTTGTCTTAGGCTGAGCCTGCATGAGTTCTATCTTCCTTGGGTAGGAGGAAATTTGGGAGAAGCCGGTCAGTCGGTCGTCGGTCCTTTCATAATGGGGTTGATACAATTATGGCTTTGAGCTTTTCATATTGGGGTGTTGTAAAGTTGTAAATCTCAGGTCGTTTCAGGTATGGGTGCGGTGTGGCAGGTACACAACTGCTTTGTCATTCTCATTGTCTACTACCGGCTGCCGCAGAATACTGACCCTAAGCCATATTGACTTCTCAGCCCCAAACCCTACAGGCCATATCCCCGAAAACCGAAAACCGTAAACTCTATACATCCCGAAGCCCTCCTGCCAGGGGGACTTACGCCGATCATCCTTCGACATTATCGTGGACGAAAATGTCCTCGACGGAATGGAAACTTGCCTGTGGGCTTGGCATTGCTGGGCCCAAAGTTTCCTAAACCCCAAACTTGGCCCTATCTACAGGCTCTATTGTAGTTCCTTGGCGGGACTACCTTATTTATAGGATCCTAAATATCAATAGAGCCTCTAGGTAAACTAATTCCCTCAAGCAGATGCCAGTTCCAAAGTTGAGCCCCGATAAGACCCGGAAATCCCAGCCTGCAATTTCTTCAAAGAGGCCCTTGATCATCAGTTGTCTTCCAAACGGGCCTTTGCCTTTAGGCATGCCGATTTCCTGCCAGCCTTGGTCTCCTCACGTTGAAGAAGGCACGTGGTCTGCAAGTGTCCAAGTTTGTGGTCAAGCTGTAGGGGGCCTTAATAATTAGAATAGGGTTTTGGGGTGTATTATACTACAATTAGACGAAAGAACCCCCAAAATTTTATAGGTAAGGAGTTTAGCGGTTCAGAGTTTAGGGTTTCTAAGTTTCGGGTTTAGGGTTCAGGGGCATGGCTGAGGAGTTCGTAGATCTTTCAAGAATTCAGGTCCGCATTCAGGGATCGAGGCGTTGGTTTTTAGGGCTTGAGGAATGGAATTATTCTGGGTTCTGGAGTACCATACTTGAATACTTTTTGGGGGACCTGTTCCTTAAGGGAACCATTATGAAATTAAAGTCTATACTTTTTTCTCCCTGGTTACTTCAAAGTCTAGATGGAAATATTGCAAGGTGTAGGGCTTTCTTCGGCGTTCTCCTCATTAGAGCCACAATGTTCGATATCACAGCTTGGCTAAATGTACATTGGTCACTTGGGCTGGGCATAAGACTCATACGATATGCATCACTGCCAACAGCAATAGACATGCTGCGGCAAAAATCAGCGGAAGAAGACGTCGTCCCACATGTGTTCAGGCGCGCCTTGTCAGAACCATACACAGTGCTACATCTAGCTTATGTGTTGATGTGTGCTTGTGGCGAGGACGGAGAGTGTGATAAGGAGGATGAACAAGGATATCATGATGCTGATTTTGGTGATGTCCATGCTGCTGATAGGCAGGATCCTCGGATGGGATGAAAGCTTGGACGACCACCGTCTCCGACAGCATTGGCATTAGCAGCAGGAGCACCGCTATCACTACTGTTTGCATACTGCACGTATAAGTACATTGCATATCTTTCGTAGTCGTCGTAGGAGTAGCAGTGGCAGCAGCAACAGCACCAGCAGAGGCAGCATTAGCAGCAGTCATTTTAGAAGTAGCAGGTGCAGTACGGTAGTGGTAGAAGTAGTAGGAATAGTAGGACTAGTAGTAGTAGTAGTAGTAGTAGTAGTAGCAGCAGCAGCAGCAGCAGCAGTTGTGGTAGTAGTCATCGCAGTAGTAAGTAATAGTTACAGTAGTTAACAGTAATACGAGGAGGAGCCAGCAGGACGGAGCACCAACAGTGTCCGGCATCTGCCACAGCCCTTAAGCAACAGCACTACTAGTTGCAATGGTGTCTTTTCACACCGCTTGACAATCGCATGCAGTTAACGCCGTATTGCAGTCAAGCCCCTCTTCAGGACCAAATGAACCCTCAAGGCGTTCATGGCCGTGTCCCATAGAGCGTCTGTAGTACCTTCTTCAAGGGGTCATGTGGACATTAAGGTTCGCAATGCCCCAGAAACCCTCAACCCTAAAACCCTGAACCCTAAACCCTAAACCCTGAATGAACCCTAAACCCTGAACCCTCTGAAC